CGTGTTTAGGTTCATTTTTTGAAGTTTGTTGTACAGTATCAAGGTTGCAGAAGCGCAACGATTTGGTTTCAATGAAGCGTTGTGGCGTATGGCGGCCGGAAGGGCAACTAGGGAGGTCCTTTTGAGCGAAGCCGGTTTTGAGAAGGTTTTCCGGACCCAGAATTGGGTCCGTCGGAGGAAGCTGTTTTGTAGATGATTTGGTTTCTTGTTGGGGCAAGCGGGGTGCATATCGATTGCTGCTTGAACCCAGTTGAATGTAGCTTTTTATTATTTCGTTTCGTCTGGTGGCTTGATTGTTTGCTGCTAAAAGAAGGCGCATCAGCCTTTTGCAGCCTTAGGTGATTGCTTGAAGTGTTTCTTGCTGTTGAGGAGTTTGTGGGTTTTCGCGAAGGTGGCCGGCTTCCATTTGAATGATTGTATTGAATACTTTACTGCCCCTTGTTGGCCCCCCTTGCCCCTCTAGACTCCTACCGAAGTTTGCAGCCCAGAAAGAACATAAATAATGATCTTTTCAGTCAATCCCGTTATTAATTAATAGTATTAATTTAAAACGGGATGGAGTAAGAATCTGCTAGGGAAAGATGTGGGAAGGTGAAGTATTGAAAGGCTCTCTTACTCCGTTATCGTTTCGATATCGTGTCAATTACATTGGGTAATTGAATTAAAACATACCACGGAGTAGCGGAGTAGCGCGGAGTAGCGACGGATTGGTGAATGTTGCCTGGGTGGTGCTGCATTGCAATCGCCGCATTGGAGCTAGGGAACGGAGACAGCTGATACCACATGTGCGCTTTCAGGTTCCATTTCTGGGGCCGGAAAGTTAATTGAAATCAGGCTTCGCATGTGCGGGCCTCCCCTGTTCCAACTCTATATGCTTGTTGCTTAACTAAACGCAGTTGTCATTTTTTGTTCGTTGCACGGGTCGGCCTTTGCTGTTGATTTTGCGATTTTGCGGTCTCATTTTTGGTACCGCCAGACGGTCCCAAAAATGAGACCGTGAAAGAGCTTTTCTTTTGTTTTTTACTAAGCGGTGCATGCGGTCCCAAAAATGGGACCGCCAGGCGGTCCCATTTTTGGGACCATGTTTAGGTTCATTTTTTGAAGTTTGTTGTATCAAGGTTGCAGAAGCGCAACGTTTTGGTTTCAATGAAGCTAGGCCCTTTTGAGCGAAGCCGGTTTTGAGAAGGTTTTCCGGACCCAGAATTGGGTCCGTCGGAGGAAGCTGTTTTGTAGATGATTTGGTTTCTTGTTGGGGCAAGCGGGGTGCATATCGATTGCTGCTTGAACCCAGTTGAAGGTAGCTTTTTATTATTTCGTTTCGTCTGGTGGCTTGATTGTTTGCTGCTGAAAGAAGGCGCATCAGCCTTTTGCAGCCTTAGGTGATTGCTTGAAGTGTTTCTTGCTGTTGAGAGTTTGTGGGTTTTCGCGAAGGTGGCGGCTTCCATTTGAATGATTGTATTGAATACTTTACTGCCCCTTGTTGGCCCCCCTTGCCCCTCTAGACTCCTACCGAAGTTTTCAGCCCAGAAAGAACATGAATTATGATCTTTTCAGTCAATCCCGTTATTAATTAATAGTATTAATTTAAAACGGGATGGAGTAAGAATCTGCTTAGGGAAAGATGTGGGAAGGTGAAGTATTGAAGGCTTCTTACTCCGCCATCGTTTCGATATCGTGTCAATTACATTGGGTAATTGAATTAAAACATACCACGGAGTAGCGGAGTAGCGCGGAGTAGCGACGGATTGGTGAATGTTGCCTGGGTGGTGCTGCATTGCAATCGCCGCATTGGAGCTAGGGAACGGAGACAGCTGATACCACATGTGCGCTTTCAGGTTCCATTTCTGGGGCCGGAAAGTCAATTGAAATCAGGCTTCGCATGTGCGGGCCTCCCCTGCAATGCTATCATCTATTCTAGTATTCCAGATGCCTGCGAACTGATCAGCTGACCACCAACCGTGCTTTCTCTTGCTTGTTGGTTTTGCTTTGTTTTGTTTGTGTGCTTTGTTTGGTTTTGTGTGTTTGTTTTGTTGCGGGTCTGTTTCTGCACGGTGTCAGCCAATGGATTGTGTACTGATCCATTTCAGTTCTCTTTTGTATGCACATTGTCGTCACGACTGATGTTGCCACTGCTTTAATTCGGTGAATTTGCAAAAGGCAATTGTATTTCCGGCTTGATAAACGACCTGGCGAGAGCCATCTGGCGTTGGACGGAAAAAAAAGTAGTTTTTAGCAACCTTGTTGCTGTTTTTCACAGTTGCTTAGCCTCTCCCCTTTTAATTTGTTTGGGCCTTAGACTGTTAATTCGTTTGTGCATATTTCGGAGACACGGTGGGCTTAATCCTATCGTGTCGGAGGCAACCCCCATGGATTTGTGTGGCTTTTTGTTTGTTGTGGCTCCGGCCCCTTTCTTGTGTTGTTTCGCTGTTTTCTCTGCTGGCGAAACGCAAATCTGGCCGGGAGATTTGCGTGTCGTCGCTTTTGCCGTGTTTCTTTTTGTTGTGTTTGTTTTTCCATGGTTTGCCTCGTTTGTGAAGCCAAAGGGTTTCATACTTTTTGCATTTTCTACCGCTTCTCACACTGTCAGGACCGAGCCTTAGAGCGAGATCGGCCACAACGGAGGAAAAAAAAACTAGAATTGGTGTTTTCTGATGGCAGTCATATCTTGCAATGTTGCCATGGACGCTCCCAGGATTTGGGTTTACAGGCTATCTCTCAAAAAATATGTCTCTTGTGCAGCGTCCATGTTGGTGGACACTTGTCAGACATTTTGGAGGGCACCGTCCTTGTTAGCTAAATTTTTGATGGTTTTTACCAGATGCACGTCCATGTTAGTTGAACAGTTAGTTGGTTGAACGTTTTTTTGGCCTCCACATCCTTGTTAGTGAAGGGAAAGTACTTTGGGGTTGGGGGTGTTGCGTATGACAAAACAGGCAAAATGTTTGGCATTTTTCAGTGAGAAGATTGACCCCAGTTTTCTGCAGATCATCAAGCGTGAGGACCAAGAAACCATCATCTTTGAACTGGAAACCATAGCTGCTGCTCTGCATGTCATCAGCTCCTTTGTGAGAGGGAGGAGAGTTGTCATTTTTGTACTGGCAACCAAGCTGCACAAACCTGCTTTGTGGAGTGTAAGTCCACCAACAATCACATGAACCTGGTCATACGAGCCGCTTGCTCCCTTGAGGAATCTCTAGGCTTGGTTGCGTGGATAGAAAGAGTTCTTTGACAGTCCAATCCGTCAGATTTTTTCTCCAGAGAAGAGGTTGCCGAATGGCAAGAGTTGACAGCTTGCCCAATAGACTTGACAGAGCTCTGGGAATCCTGTTTGCAAGAAAGACTTGGGTTTGCATGTGGGGGAAGTGCGCGAGACCTGACCGCTGAGATGCGATTCGCCCCAACAGTCAAAAAAAGTGGGAGCGCTGGTGAGTGCGTTGTTCTTTTTTGACCATTTCGATCTCTTGTAACATGTGCAATTGCTTGCAGTCATTCATGTTCGAATGCAACACAGCGGGAACATGTCCGACAAACAACTAGAAGAGAAATTAAGATGTAACTCAACGTGATGATGGAATTTTAATTTCTAGGAGTTGTGAGATTGTTTTGACAAGTGTCAAAACACTAGGGCATGCAGTGCTGTTGGTCGAACATGTTCATATTATCCGTTGATTAAGGTTCAAACGAACCCAGTTTTGCAGTCAAATCGCTCAAGTTTTTCATCCCACCTTGAGTTCCTTTGTCCAGTCAATTTCCCACCCCCGACACATCCAAGTGGATGTCAATGACTTTCGTCACTAACGCAGCTCAAGTTTTCACTAGTCCATTCATCAGCATGTGCTGTACACAATCTTTTTATTTTTATTTTGTTCGTGTGAGCATTGCGCCAAGTGGCCATGGCTATGTCTATGCAAGACCTCATGCGACCCATTCGCACGCAGTAACATGTCCGACAAACAATTGGAAGAAAAATTAATTATAATGGCATTTGTATAATGATATATGTATCATGGTACATGTAAAATGGTATATGGATGATGGTATATGTATAATGGTATATGTATAATGGTATATGAATATTTAGATATACATTTACATTTATATCTGTATCTGTATCTATATCTCCATCTAGATCCATATCTATGGTCTATAATCTATGGTCTATAATCTATAGTCAATAGTCAATAATCAATAGATGTCAATAGTCAATAGTCAATAGTCTACAGTCTACAGTCCATATCTGAATCTATATCTATATCATTTTTCGATCTTTATCCCTTTTTTGTGCACATTCAATACCGGAAATTTTCAAAGTAGACATTCAAACGCGCCATGCACAGCATCAAAAATGTTGATGTGAATGATGTAACCCGCGGTGACGCCCTCGTGGAGCAAACTAGTGATGAAAATTCTGAAGCTGGGAGCATCCTTTTTCGTTTTGAGGACATGCCCGTTGTGAAAATTAAATTCCCTGAAACTATCAATTCGTCAGCTATGTTGGCAATTCACGGTGCAAAAACAAACGAATACGTCGGCATGAACGGCTTTTATACTATGCTGATTATTGTTCCCCAAATTGTGCTGCTTGCCATCGACGTTGTCACCCAAATCAGTTTTGTTCAATACCTTCAAAAAACATTGTCTGGCCTTGATTCGTGCGAGATCAGAACAGACTTGGTGCTGCGCTATTTGTCAGTTGCCGCATTCCTTGCAGGGATGATTTTTGATTTTTTTGAATGTTTTGAAATGCTGTGCTGTGGGCATGGTACGTGTTGTACGTGAAAACGGAAGATGATCAAACACTTCAGCTCCAAATCCGAGCAGACGGGAGCAAAAAACGAGTTTCTGGTTTGACGATTTGGATCGATTTGGCAACAAATCGTGTTCGTTGGGGTTGTTGGCACGAAAACAACTGCCGTGTACCGCTTTGCAGTTGGTGCTCAATTTTTTTTGCTGTCGGAGCGTCGGAGACCCATGCTGACCTCATTCGCAATTGCTTGGCAATGGTCTTTCTTGTGGAACTTGATGACCTCATCTACCAGGGTTTCACTCCATCTTTTGGCAAAGAGGTAATTCAGGATTTGCCAGCAATCGAAGTCCACAGTCCTGTTCAGGGTTTGCCAGGCTCACATTACTTCCATGGGTGAAATTCGGTTTTGGGCTGCTCGGAACACACCTCATCGTTACATACAACAGCTGTTCAGGCGCAGAACTCTAGTTTTTGAGGCAGCTGTGTGCCTTTCAGCGCTGACGGCGGTCGTTTTCTCCAACCTCTGGGCCGGTGTAAGAGGAATGATGTGTGTCCAGCTGTGAAATCCTTGTGACTAGTGACTAGTGCCACTGGCACAAGGCAGCTTTCATTTCACTAAACCATTGCCTTCTTTTCATGTTCTGTCGCCGTTTTTCGAGCTGCCAAATTTTCAGGTCTCAACAAGACCATTTCAAACCAGCCATGGAATTTGACTCCGAACATGCGGAACACATCAAAAATACATATGCTACATTGATACACGGGACACTTGAAATAAGTTAGGTAAACCAGAAACAATCAGAACAGCTGAAAATAGATCGTCAAAATGATGTCAATTTCGAGTTGGAGGCCACCGTTGGTTGATGCGCCTCTTGGTCACAACTTTTCAGATGAGTCCCTGGGGAGCATGACATATGATGACATATGATGCCATCTTGGAAAATAGGAAACTAATCCAAGACTAGTTTGAAGTATTCACAGAAAAGTGTTGGGACATTTGATTTCATTTCTGACAAGTACACCAGAATCCTGTTTTCAATGTCGGGCAAATGGTGTTGATTGCTGCTTAGGCCACATGCGCAGATTCTCCGGCAAGGGAGTCCAAAGGCTTCAGGGCTGTTGTGGTGCGACATTCACATGTTCACTCAGTGCAATGAAGACTGTGGATAGCATAATTTGCGGTGCAAATCCTGAAAAATGCCTGCATCCAAAGGCAATTCACTAAATTGCAGAGCAAAATGCTTGCGAAGGGTTTGATTGCGTCTGAAAGGATCAAACCCCAATGTGTTTTTTTTGTTGACTTCTGGCAGGCCTCTATACCTAGAGGTCAACCCAGACCTGCTGCAGGTGCATTTGTGACATGTCAAAAATATATGCTGGGTGCAAGGAGAACCCCTTGCAAACTCAAGTTTTTATTCTCTGGTCTTGAATTTTGCTCTCCTTTTGCTGGACGAGAAGTGCCCAGCTTCTGAAGCTGCCCTCAACTCCTGGACACTTGGAGGTCCTGTTGGTGTTTGTGCTGCTGTGCTTTGTTACCGGCAAAGCCGCAGCCGGAGCTCCAGCTGCAGAAGGAGCTCAGGGATGGGGACATTGTGATGGTAAAAGATCCTCCCAGGTGGTGGCCGAATTGGCTTTGCAAACTAGCTAGCAGCTAACGGACCTAACAGCTCAAGTTGCTCAAGTCAGGTGAAGTTAAACAGTTCGGAAGGGAGGCTTCCTTTCACCCGTCGAACCGTGGAAATGGAAGAGCTGAATGTTGTCCTGTTTTGTCAGGGCATCCTGTCCTCGATCAGAGGTCTATGATGCCTTGCAGGTGGGGAACTGTTCCTTCTGGTCTAAGAGTCCAGGAGGTGAAGCGAGTGTTGAGCAGTTGCTATCTTGAAACGTGAGTGTGCCTTTTCGGGCACCTAGAACCTCTCAAGAATATGAGAAGAATATCTCAAGAGAGACGTGAGTTCTACAGCCACTCACAGGAAGCAGCATGGCCAAACAATAATGGTGGGGGTCAGGATCACCCTAGCGCTCAATCATTATAATCTTGTTCTACTCTGCTGCCAAGTGCTGGACTCATACTTTGAAATCGTAGGTAGAAGCAATTGCGTTGGAGAATCCGTTGGCCATCTTCTGGCGTGGTGTGCAGGCCTGGTACAGCATGGAACAGCATGGAACAGCATGGGGATCTTGACTTGCTTCACTCTTGTCGCGCAACTGCTCCAATTCATTAAAAAATCAGTTTTTTTTTTCCGTCAGCTGCAATGCAGCGCCAACGCTCTCTGAGAGCTCAAATGTCAACTCCAAAGCGTGGAGCCTGCAGGTCGTTTCTAGCCTTGGGCGATACTACCTGTCGCTTAGGCTTCAAGCTCAAAGTAGGTCATGCACAGTGGGATCATCCTGGGCGGCTTGTGCTTTGACTGGCCAAGCGTAGATAGATTTCCGAGCCAAAGTACTACCTTCGTCTTCCATCGTGGACTAGACGACATCTAAGAGATTTCTTCAGATCAGCAGAGTCGGTTCAAGTTGCCCAAATCCTTCGCTTGGCTGATGGGTATTGAGTGATATTGTGGCCCTGAGGTTGGATGATGCTTTTGGCCGCACAGACAGCAAGACTGTTCGAGAGAGGCCTTTGTGTAGCTCAATTCACTTGTGCCTCTGTGCTCTGTAAGATTATAGATCTCCAAGCTTGGGCATGTTCATAACATTCAACAAATCTCCTGAACCCAGGGTTTTGGTTGCGGTCAGGTCACAAGAACTGCGTGAACTACTCCTTTATTTGGGACCCTGTTATGTCAAGCTTGGACAGGCGCTGTGTTCGAAGGTTGTGCAGGGATCCAGCGCCCAAAAAAGAAAAGAACACACGACATTGTAGCAAGGAAACTTATATAGACTGTATCATTGTATTTTCCGCGACCTCTAGAAAAGCAGACGTGGTTTATGGTCATCCCACCTCAGGGATTCCTTGCAATGGGTATATGAAGCCCTATTACTGGGGGATGATCGTGACCATGGCGCACCTTTGCAGCAGTGCAAGATGTTACAGTGCAGGCGCTGGCAAACCGTCCAGACATCATCAGAGATGATTACATGGTGTTGCTCTCAGACTTTTACAACATCATCAGTCTGATCTGGAATTATGGACATGAGTTTGAAATTTGGAAGCAAATGCTTGCTGCCGAAGTTGCCTGCAAATAGGAGCTTCATGCAGCTTCCAACATGTGGCAAAAATGTGGGATGATGTGGGTCTCAAGATTCTTTCTGGCTGCATTTGCTGAGGCTGAACTTGAAGCTCTTCAGGCACAAGGGTACGGGTTTCCTGACCCTTGCTGGACTCTCCTAGTCTGTGCGCACATTGAGACCTTGTGAGTTTATAAACGATTCCAAGTTGATTATTGCTCTTTAATTTTAAAGGTGCAAACACTGCATGAAGTTTTACACATGGGGCAGCACAGGTCAGGTAAGCTTTGTGCACTGATCGAAACTGAGGACAAGGTGCCTCCGTTTCCATCAAGTGAGGCCATGTCCATCATTCGTGAAGAGCTTGGCCAGGACTTTTCCCCCATTGGCTGCCTTCCGAACTGGTCTGCTGTTAAATTATGTGTCAAATTTGATGTAGAAGGCGGAAAATTGAAAAAACGATGGCCTTTAAGACATGCTGCAGAAGAATTTAATATAGAAAGTGATGACTATGAATGAGAATAGGATGATAATGATAATGTTTTTTATCATTGACTCTGTGGAATTTGAATCAGGAATGTGTGTAATATACCGTAATATACAGTGAATTCTGCTTGCATGACATGCATTCTTCATCTTATCATCAACATGTAAACATGACAAAACACTTTGCGTCGCACCAACTTCGGCGGTCAGAGTTGGGATTTGTTTCTTCGGACCTTTTTTTCTTCAGCTTTCATTCTTCGTTTTGAATAGCTGTCCTAAACTCTGTACATATTTGTTTTGATTTTGGAAGCGAAATTGCCAAGTACATCAACAACGTACATTTGAACATCAGCAAGGCAACGTTCTTAAAGTCGTCCGGGACGTCATTACACCCCCCACGCCCCCCAACCCACCGGTTTACATGAGCGAGCATCCTCCAACGTACATGTGAACATCTTACAGGCCTGCCTCTGGGCCGTGACCCCATGAACAAACCTCAGCAGAGCTTTTCCCTTTGTGAAAGGAAGGCATTGCATTGTGAACTGCTGTATACTGCCGTAAGATTCACAATCCCAAATGGCTCACTTTCCCGCGTAACAAGGAGCCCATGGAAATTTTCTCAGAGCTTACTGCTGAACCTGTGGCAGCTGCATCATTAGGGCAGGCTAGGCGCCTTGGATCTCAGCTGTGTGGGAGCCAATGCTTTTAGCTTGGTTGCTTGTCCTAGCTGATCTTGGACAGGTTTACCGGGGCAGATTGCGCTCGAACAGAGCGGAGGTTGCAGTGAAGGCAGAATGATCATTCCATGATTGCTGAAGCTTTTCGCCAACTGAATTATAAATGTGATTCTGCAACTGTTCTTGATTACCTTCATGATTTCTGCTTGGCCAAGACCCTGGGGAATTCTTTGGCGATTGACATGAGTATTGCAAACATGGCTGTCCCCATTTCAGGTTCAGCGGCCTGGGCTGAAGGACAATGCACCTGCATTCTCACAGGAAAAGTCAGGTGCAGCAACAACAGGTGCAAGAAAAAGTTGGAGAGCCACAGAGTCAGATGCAACAGGATGCCAATCGGTTAGAAATGTATGGAAAGAGCATAGATAGGATGAACACGCCTGCAGGATACCCTCATTCTGGACATGTTCATCTTCAGAAGGCACCTAAGCAAGGATGCAGCTTCTTTATGCCCCGATTAAAGTGGCGATCTGTAGAAAAGTTGGAGAGAGTTTGTTTGGAATGCAGTTTTTGAAGTGCCAGCAACAGCTTGCACTTGCAACTTTGGAAGATCCACCGCAAGTCATTCAGCGATCTATCCTTTCCGCCAGGTAGATTCAGGTTATATGGTGTTGTATGACTTCTTACTTCTCTCCCATTGTCATAGAATTTCGGGGGTGATGAATAGTCAGTCTCCATCAAATTGCCGCCTGAAGTCTGACGTGGGTCCTGTTCCTTCTCCCACTTTGTCGAAAGTGCTGCCCTGGCGGGCCTAAGTCATCATTCCAAGCCTAGTGGCAGTTGAATCTAAAGATTGCCTAACTTGGTGTTGAAGTTGAGAATTGACTTTTCCAGACTTTTTGGTACTAAATTGGCAAGCTTGTTGTAAGCTTGTTGTATCTGGGGTTTACCCCGGTGAAGTTTGAAAGGCAGCAATTCCTCATGACCTCATTGGAATTCCGTCCTCTCAGGCTCTCCCAGCTGCTCAACAATTGGGCCCAAGCGAAGCTCGACAGAATGCCACAGAATGCCGACAAATCCACAGTGCTGCGACAAGTCACTCTGACAAGTGGATGAGGGTTGAAGTTTTAAGCTCCACAAATGATGATAAGAGCATATATGTATAGTCTAGTATATAATATATGTACTTGTATATAATATATGTAGAGTATTTAATATACGTATGTATAGTATTATATATATATGTTGTATATATATATATGTATAGCATATAATATATGTATAGTATACATATATGTATAGTATTGTGTATATATATACATGCAGTCTATATATGCATAGTATACACTATATGTATGGTATACATATATGTTGTATATATATATATACACATGTATAGTAAAACTACACACATATATATATATGTATAGTATCTATATACACATATGTATAGTATATATATATAGAGTACACATATATATAAACATATGTATAGCATGTATATATATACAGAATATATATGCATAGTATGTATATATATATGTATAGTATATATATAGAGTACACACATATATATATATAAACATATGTATAGCATGTATATATATAGAGAATATATATGTATAGTATGTATATATATATGTATAGTATATATATAGTAAAATCTATAGTATATATATAGTATAATCTATAGTATATATATAGTATATATATATACATATGTATAATATATATATATATACATGTATAATATGTAGATATATGTACATATATAGTGTGTATATATATATATATATGTAATATATATATATATTGTTATAGTATATGTATGTACAGTATATGTATGTATAATATGTATATATGTAACACTATATATACACATAATACTATAATACTATATATATATATTTGTATATGTACAAGACGATATATATATATGATATTATATTTATAAATGTATCATATCATCTCCATATGTATCAACTATTGTGTATATAAATGTAATATGATAATATATATATATAATATGATAATATATATATAATATGATAATATATATATAATATGATAATATATATATATATAATATGATAATATATATATATAATATGATATATATATATATATACAATATGATAATATATATATACATACTTACATTATATATACACATACACATTTACATTATATATATACATACACATACTATGTATATATATAATATATATATATATAATATATAATATATATATAATATAATATATATATAATATAATATATATATATATATAATATATAATATATATATATAATATATAATATATATATATAATATATATAATATATATAATATATATATAATATATATATATAACATATAATATATATAATATATATAATATATATATATAATATAATATATATATATATAATATATATAATATATATAATATATATATATATATTATATACATTATATATATAATATATATAATATGTATATATATATAATATATTATATATATATGAATGTACATATATTTCTTCCTCAGCAAGGCACTTGGGCTGCAATGTGACGCTGGTCGTTGACGAGTTTGCCTCAAAGTTGTGGGAGGCGAGGCAAACTCCTGGAGTCACTGGAAGTCACTGGAAGGCAGTTTCCTACTTGAAGTCCATTTGAGTAGTGAAGTCCTTGAAAGTGTTGGGTAGAAATGTGCGAACATGTAGCACACCTTTTTGGTCGACATTTGGATGCCAGGAAGCCAACTATGAACAGGAAGCCAAAAATGCGCAGATGTTTGCAAAGAATTTCGGACAAGATCCTACTGTCAAGATCCCTAAGGCTGGACGTTGGGTGGAAGGTTGCTGGAAGTCGAGTCACTTTCCTCATATGCTGTGAGGTCTTCATGCAGTATGTTAGTAAAAAGGCTTGCACCTCAGAAGTTGAAGGACCAGGCATCATTGAAACTCATGATATCTTCAGTATGTCAAACAGTGTATTCACAGATTTTCTCAACATCACATAGTTGGAAAACTCAGCAGTGTTTTGGATTTCCGGGTCTTTCGCTTTCGCTGTAAGGTCATCACAATGGAGTCTAGCCCTTGAGTTATTGAACTTTGTAGAAGATCTATACTGTAATCGTTGGAACCTCAGCGCGGCCAAGGTGGATTGATGGACTGAAGAGCACAGACCTTGCTGGCTTGAGGCACCAGAAAGTCGTGTTTGGTACTTGGATCAGAGCAGCCTTGTGCCAGACGACGTGGGATTGACATCAACGAGTTCATCCGGAATGGGGTGCAGGCTCCGGTGGGTCGTTTTGTCCATTGCTTTGTAAACGCTGTGTCTAGCTGTGAGGGTGGGAAGGTGTATGCTGGCTCCGCAAGTAAAACTGCAGGCTGCCTTGCGTCAACTCTTGGAGTTTGGTCTTTTTCACGGAGATCCACATGCGGGCAACATTTTTGCCATGGATGATGGGAGGCCAGCTGCTCAAATATTTGTGGAGATAGACTGGTATGTGTGGCAACAACATGCATCTTTGTTGCATCAGGATAGCGTACGTTGACTTTGGCAATGTGGCAAACATCTCGGAAAGTCAACGAGATGTGCGGATCCAAAATCCCCTCTTAAACCAAAGAGGGAAGGCTTTTTCGCAGAATCGAGCAGTGGAGCCAGAATGATGTGTGATGCAGGGAATTGAGAGATGTCTGGATGCACCATGCAGAGTCTCATCCACATTCTCAAGTACCAGTCAATCTTTCGAGAAGAACCATGTGTTGAATGCTTGCTTTGAGGTGCTTATTGGTGCCATTACGCACGTGTCCAATTCAGATTACAAGGACAGAAACTACTTTGTGGGGATCGGTAGTCTGAAAACAAGCTACTTCCACTTCTTAGTACCTCAAGACTCAAGGAAGTCTATGGGCTTTTCCGGTACCATGGGGTAGCCCATTCCATCCAGTCTCCCAATTTCCACCCAAAAAATAGATAAAGATATATAGATAAAACATAGATTAAAATAGCACCCCAAGTTTGAAGACAACAGCAATTCTCCAGAGCTTTCTCCGGAGGAAATCGCCAACGATTTTATTCGCCTGGGCTTTCTTCGCCCTGGCACTGATGTGTCGGAGATCGTGCCTGCCATGGAGACCATTTGGGCTGTTCCTTCGCAGCAGCCAGTAAAGATAGCCCTAAGGTGGGTTATAAACTTATAACCATGAACATATGGGGGTGAAACGACTAAAATTGGAGAAATGATGGTTGTTTGGTTTAGATGGTGTTATAGTACCTGGTTTATTGGGGAGTGTTATGTATTGTTATGAGATTTAAAGGCCATATACGTATCAACCAGTATTTCATAGGATGGGATACGGGTATTTCTCATGGCTCAAAGGAAGACAGGATTGGACTTGTCCTACCAAGGACTCCATGGGCAAGTCCATCAAAGACTTCAATTTTCGCACGGCAGGAAACCTCAGACAAAGAAGACACGGCTTTGACTTTTTTGTTTGCCAACATTGACTACATGTTAACTATATGTTGACAATATATGTATATATATATATAATCATATATATATATATATTCAATATATATATATATATATATTCAATATATATATATTCAATATATATATATATTCAATATATATATATATATATTCAATATATATATATATATTCAATATATATATATATTCAATATATATATATATATTCAATATATATATATACATATGCACATAATATAACATATTGTAATATGTATATATATATATGTATATATATATATGTATATATATATGTTACCAATTTGAAATGCAACCAGACCGCAGCGCCCGCAGCTTTGTTGGTCATTTTCTTTGAGGTCACCGGGCGCTTCTCGAAGCTTGTTTACCAGTTCCCAATTCGAATCCCAGAGAGGCTCGGAATGAAGTTGTTTTCATTGGATTGGTTTACGGGAAATTTTACAGGAAATCATAGATTTTCCCATTCAATATGGAGCTTTCTGGTTAAGGTTTTCTCTTAAACCAATCCATTGACATTTACATAGCAAGTCGTGACTTTCTCAGTCCTGTCGCCACTTTCCCTTCCCAGGTTCTCGCTGGTGATCCGTTCTTTGCTGATGCAAGAGGGGATTTGCATGTGCCCAGTCAGGGAAAGGAGCGGAATAGTGGGGAACCAGTACCTCAAGTGAACGCATTCAACAGAAATGCATGTAGGAGATGGATGTTGCTTCGGACAAGGAGCTGTTCAGGTTGATTGATTTTGACTGTTGATGCACTGAGGTGTCTGAACCCTGATTTCAGCATTATCGAGGCATAGAAATGTGAGCAGTGAGCAGTGATGATGCAGCAAGCCCGTCATGTGCTATTGAAACAGACGAACTGCCCCACGAATGATGAAGCCTTGAAAGCTTTCGGAATGGTTTAATTCATGCTTATAGATTGGTTTAAGGGGGTAAGTACAGGAAGCCTCCATATTTGATGGGAAACACACTGAAATCCAATGAGTGATTTGAGTCTTCATGCCTCTTTTGCTTTTGCAGGGACGTGTCCCCAGTGCAGGTGGCTCTGCCTTATGCCTCCAAGAGGCTACTGAGCAATCCGAACCCAACTTTGAGGCCCTGCACCCGCCTTGTGCAGCCGTCTCTCCATCACATATATATATAATATTATAGATATATGTTTTTTTGCTACGGCCTTTTGGGACAGTGTATATATATATACAATAAGATACATATACGTACATATGATAATAGATTATAGATACGTTTGTGATATCACCTTCTAAACTCAAAGGCGGGAGCTGCTGAGCATCGTGTTCAGCGGCCCACCTGAAAGACCAGTCCTGCAGCTGGAAGCTTAACCAAGCCATGCCGTGCTGGTAAATTGGCACCCGGCACTCATTTTCAACGATCCACCAAGGTGGGACCGGTTGACAAACCTGGTGACCTTGGCAAAGCAGGTTCTGGCCTTCGCTAAATGGAGCATCTTGATACGATAGCAACCTGCTTTTTCTAGCCAGGGCTTAGCCCAAGTGTTGTTCGCAGGCAAGGGATGGAACTTCGATTCAGTCGCTGCGGCTGATTTGCAACAGCCATAGATGCATTGGTGTTTTTTTGCCGTTTGGGGATCACGGCATCGACCTGACACGTGCAGCCAGGATAAACCAGGTAATCGTAGACTTCTTTCGCGGCCTGCGTCGAGACGTGGTCAACGGTGTTGAAACGGGTTCCTTGGCAAATTTGTCCAGTTTCGGCGCAGCGAGGTCCTAGATTCCTTCAATTTGTCCTCTAGAAAGTGTGGCAGGGTCCTATTTTTGTACTGGCATCATCAAAGAATCAACCAGGTCACCATGATTGTAGAAGGCGTTGATCAAACATTATGCAATTGAGGGAAGAATTTAGATGACTCTGGCTGAGGTTTGGCTCCTGCAAAGGCAGGGCTATGAGCACAGGGTACCTGCTCCCTTTAATGATCTTCAAGCAGAAACTAGCCTTTGGCAGCGGGCTATGGGGGAACGCAATGACTTCAGACTACTGAATATCAATGTGCCCCCATGGCCTGTGCTAGCACAAGTTGGATTGCGCATCGCATCTCAAGGTGCTGGAATCTTCTTTGAATCTTTCTGTAGTGCAAAACGAGAGGTTTGTCCATCAATAGGGTACCCCAATCATAATCTTCCCAATTAAATTGGTTAGTTGGGGGTCAATCGATTTTGAAACAGAAAAAATACCCAACGGTCTGTTAGTGATATATCCCATCAATTCAATCTTCAATATCCCAATTTATTGTTGGTCAAATCCCATCAATATCTCCATGGTATCCTGACTGCAAGGTGCTCCAGGGTGGCTTGCAGGCTCTTACGGCCGGCGATCGGCTGCGCCTCAAGGACCGGGTCACTCCTTCCGTACGTCCAGATCGCCGTGCAATGATCCATACACAGTTTTTGAGCCATGCCCATATACACATGCAGACCATATAGTATGATTACTGTATATATATAGATTACATATATGTGTAACATATAGGTATAATATATATATATATGATATAATATATATAATAATAATAAATATATATATATAATATAATATTATATATATAATAATATAATATATAATAATAATATACACATATATAATATAACATATAGATTACATATATGTGTATTATATAGGTATAATATATATAATATACAATATAATATATATATAATATACAATAATATATATATATAATATAATATATATATATAATATATAATATATATATATTTAATATATAATATATATATAATATATATATATAATATATACATAATATATATAATATATATAATATATGTAATATATATAATATATATATATAATATAATATAATATAATACAATATACATAATATAATATAATATAATTTAATATAATATATAATATAATACAATATAATATATATATAATATATATTAAAATATATATGTATAATATATATATATATATGTAATATATATGTAGAATATATATATATATATGTAATATATATGTATAATATATATAATATGTATAATATAAATATATATATATATATAATATGTATAATATATATGTATAATATATATGTATAATATATATGTATAATATATATGTATAATATATATGTATAATATATATGTATAATATATATGTACAATATATATGTATAATATATATGTATAATATATATGTATAATATATATGTATAATATGTATGTATAATATATATGTACAATATATATATGTAATATATATGTATAATATATATATATATGTATAATATATATGTATAATATATATGTATAATATATATGCATAATATATATCTACAATATATATATAATATGTATATATATAATATGTATATACATATATATATATAATATGTATATGCCTACGGGTTGAAAACCGAACCAGCGTTTTGCATGTTTCTATGTCTTTCATGGGGTTAACGGGGTGGGGTGGGGTGGGGTAATAAAGTTCATTTGCACTGCCTGACATACATGATGCTACGCTGCTGTACGTCTTTTTGCACTTCCTCACATGCATGATGCTACGCTGCTGTACGTCTTCTTGCACGTCCTCACATACATGATGCTACGCTGCTGTACGTCGTCTTGCACTTCCTCACATATATGATGCTACGCTAGTGTACGTCGTCTTGCACTTCCTCACATACATGATGCAACGCTACTGTATGTCGTCTTGCACTTCCTCACATACATCATGCAACGCTACTGTATGTCGTCTTGCACTTCCTCACATATATGATGGTACGTTAGTCTATGTTAGTCTTGCTCAATGGCAAGATTCGCGCTTGGCAGTGGAGATGGGAAAACAGGTCCCACAAAAACCTCTCCAAGCTCACTGCAGAAATTGTGAAGAACACTTAGCGCAGAAAAAAAGAGAGTGCCGCTGAGGTTTTTTTACATATCCCGTGAAAAGTACGCGCGTACTTTTTAAGGAAATTGAACTTTGAGAGAGATGCAAAACCACTGTGATTTGTGGTATGAAATCAATGACGAATGCTGCAAACGTTGAAAACGCGGGTTCGATAAACAACCCGCCGGGATGTATATGTATATATAACATATATACATATGTATATATATATATGTATATGTATATATATGTATGTAAATATACATGACATTTGATTATCACCATATGTATATGTATTTTTACAATACTATTCAATTAGGAAATCGGTTTAATGTTTCTTGATCATATGTGATGTTTCTCAGAGCCATTTGTGATATTGTGTAAATGATGCAGTACATCCATGCGCGCTTTCGTGTTGCAAGACATCAAAGACACGATTCGCGCAGTGCAAGCATGCGCACCAACCTAGCTGCCTTTTACCTGCCTACTCTATACACGTGTAAACCAGAATATGGAAAGACTTACAAGGCAAATAGTATAGTCATGGTAGTCATGGAGATACAGAGAGAAACCAGCAAGAAATGCCTTTTTTTCTGGACGGTCTCAGGATGTGTTGCAGTTGGTGGAGCTTTTGAGTCCGGATCTCACACCGGCATTAGCCCGAGAGGCCTCTCGGGACCACATGTTGGTTTGATAGGAGACACAGCACAAGAGGAACTCCCGAGCTAGCAGCTAGAATGAGAACAATACCATAATTGGGAACGCAAAAGCACTTCGTTGCTGCCCTTCTTTCATGTAAGTCCCCACATCCATGCTACGGTCTAGAGCTCAATTGAAATATGTTTCGGGTCCTCAATTTTGGGATGCCCATCTTTGAAGCAGGTGGCTGATGCCCTTATCCGGGATTCAGCCGGGATCTGAGAGTCTCAACAAACTTTATCACAGCTCAACCGGCACTACTGAACTGACAAGCCTCCCATTGGTGCGACTGGTGACGTTGACGATGTTGACAAAGGTGGAGGATGTACTTCGCGAAAGAGGTGTTCAACTTGAACTCGAGGATTTCGATCCTCGAGATCCTCGTAACTTGGGCAAGGCGCATCCTGATTTTTTTTTGGGGGGCGATTGGCACGGTTGTCAAAGACTTGATTCGTGGTAGCTTGGCCCTTCGAAAAATTGACTCCTTTCACCTTGGGATGCCCAACCCAATGCTTCTGTTGAAAACTGTGACTGTGGACCTGGATGTTCGAGGTGCATGTTGATCGACAATGCTTTGAAGTGCAGCTGAACAAAGTGAAGCCATGTGAAAACATATGAAACATACCCTTTGGTAATCAAACATTGCTTGCTGCACAATTCTGCATTTGTATATAGAGAAGTTCATATTATAGAGATATTTAGATATTTCCGATTCAAATGTCCCGAAATGTCCATTAAGTTCGGGGATTTCCCAGTCGCCAGCGAGATGTTTCGCCTGTGCTCACCAGGTTCTCACCAGCGGCGAGCTTTTCAAGCTCTTGCCTGTTCCAGGAGCGGCCTGAGCGAAAATCAGCCAGGTGTGAAGCAGTACGTTTCCGAGCGGTTGATGCTGGACGACCCCTGAAGTTACCGAAGTTCAATTGATCCAATTTAAGTGAAGGTTGAGAGATAGTTTTTCGCGAACCGATCAAACCAGCAACCGCGTGTACAGCAACCTGGACCTTTTGCCCAGGCGCACTTTTGACGAATCTTCAAAGTTAGTAGCTTCATGTTGCACGCACCAATCAGATTAGTGTGGTGCAGCAGTGCAGAAGCACTTCTCAAGTCTCCTTGGATTTTCCTAAAGCACCTGAGGCATGTTTGCAGCATTTCCAGGAGCTTGAGCCAACCTTTCCGATGCACGCGCCCGTTGTATTTTGCTCCTCAGCATTCGCGCAAACAAGCCAGAATCGCCTGTCGCGCAACCGTCATTTGACAGAATGAATCGTGACTTGCAATGGAGTGATTGGCTTTTTTGTGCACTTGCACTTCACTTCTATACCAAGTCTATGCTGTTTTCCAGAACATATTGAAACCAAGACTATCTCTTTGCAAATACATCCTTCGAGTCCGTCGCCCATAGGGAAGTTTTAATGCATTGTGGGCCAAAACGGTTGAGGACATCGTAGATATGAGTAGTTCTCAAGGGTGACACATTTGGCATTCTGTGACGGCTGAAGATTTTGTTCCTTTGGATGTGTGACAGATGAAAGTCTAAAGCATCAGCTGGTTAGAAGAGTGCATGCTTGCTAGCCTGTTGGCCAGAGATGATAGAAGTTGGATGAACAGAGGATTGAGCGTATTGGGACCGATTCAATTTGACTAAAAGGTTGTACGCCTGGCGATTCAAAAAGATACAAACAATGTAATAGAAATAGAGACACTTGCTGAATGCAGTCTTTTTCGGTGCAAGACCGCCCGGCAAATAGCAAAAATATGACCTCTCGCTGGCGATGTGTGATTTTTTCAGTATCATTTGGCACCACAAACGCACGACATTTTTCCATTTTTTGGCACTGGTTGGATCGCAACCTGTTGTGATGTTGCAGGATGCACAGGGTGCAATGATTTGGTGGATTTCCATATCCGGTCCGCCGCTCCGAAGCATTTGACTCGGCTGAAACTCGCGTTGATCGATTTCGGCCATGGCGTTGTCATCCACTCGCTTGGCATTCCTGGGTTTCTCCAACCTTGTGCTGAGCCAGGCAGTGCAGTGCATTTATCCTCATGGCGAGTGTTACGAACTCAAATTGCAAAAATGCAATGGTTCTACGTCGTGGACACTGCACGGTTTGTGGCCCGAATGGCAAAATGAATGTGAAGGTCCAGACTTTGATGAAAACGTGTTGAAAGACATTCATGACGAGATGGAAAAAAAATGGCCTTCTTGTCCAGAATATGGAGAGTCTGAACAGGAATTCTGGAGTCACGAGTGGAAAAAACATGGGACATGCTCTGGAATGGGACAGCTGGAGTATTTCAAGAAGGCCTTGCAGATGCGTGATGAGTACATGAACAAATGCTCCAAGGAGGGCAATCTCCTGGGATGTTCAGTCTGCTTCGGCAAGAATCTGACATCCCAGGAGACTTGTCCCACTTTCACTGTTTCAGTCTGAGGGATTCTGAGGGAAGGGCTACGAGGGTCATGGTTGCATGGCGCCTTGGCCGCTGCCTTGGCCGCTCCCAGCCCGCCCAGGCTGTGTTGCTGCAAGTGGCACCATACCTGTGAGGTTGTGCAACACTTCGGCGCAAGTTTCCATAGGACTTGCAGCCACAATCTCGGGGGAAAAATGATGCAAAAAGGCACACGATGCTTGGAACATTGTTGCAGGACCGGCTGAGACTCACAATTCAACACGCTTGTTTGTGGTTGATGTTGCGACAACGAGACTTGCATACCATGGGAAGCTTTGGCTCAAGAACAAGAGACCATTTATAGACATTTCCAGATGAACACAAAAAAAAGTAGCAAACAAAACCTGCTTTGAGTCCGGCCAGCTGTCCACCTGCAAAATGGCGTGCGATATGTTTGTCAAACTCATGATGTGCCTTGGCGTGATTTGGCCAGAAACTTTCTCCACCGGCTTTGTTTGGGCATGGCTCCAACTTGGGGTACCAACGGACCACCACAAATTTTGAGGATCTGAAACTGTCCATTTTTGGAGGTCATTCATGTTGAATTGTACTGGTTAATGATGCCGTTCGGCATCATTAGCAATCTTCCTCAGAGCACTGGATCAGGATCGGAGATTCGGGCTGCATGCTCAGATCTGCGAAAATTTGGGACTGCCAGTCAATTCACCTGGTACCCGTTTTGGGGGATCGCAAAATCATGGTGGCAATTACTGAATTAGATATGATTAGTGAAATGGGTCGCTCCTCGAGGTGTAGGAAAAACTACCTTGATCGTGAAGTTCGTGGATGAAATTGTCAAAACCGACAAGTTCACGTCGACATTAGGCCCTTCGCCATACGTTTTTTCGTCTGTTCAAGCGATACGTGTTGGTTTCCGCCAAAGTTCTTGTAGGCATTGACTACAAGACAAAGATGCTTTGGATGAGAGGTTGGAAGTGCAACATGTGCGGAGGGGTCAAAAGCTATGATTGTCTATGATACAAAAATGTACAAACTGTGTGGAATTTACCATCCATTTATCACCTATTTTGACGTTCATCTTGGTACCAGGGTTTTGACCTAGCCCAGCATGGATGCTGCAATGGCACTGCCTCGCAGGAAAACGGGTGAAGCTGCAGATTTGGGACACAGCGGGACAGGAGCGTTTTCAAACGATCACGCAACAGCAGGCTCCTCAGAGAGATTTTTTCCCTCGCCCGATCAACATCCATTTACCTGCTGCAAATGGGATGTGAAACCAGGATTCCAGGAATTTGTTGCAAACAAATCTTTGGGATAGACAACAATTTGAATGCTCAAGAAATTCGCCTTTTTTTGGCGCGTGTTGAAAGTACAGTTGCTACACTTGAGCACTCTTAAATAACGGCTGTTTCTTGGGGTTTCCTCCGAAATCAAGAACATTTAGGAGCTTCCCATGGGCCAACCAGCCTTTCCAACTACGGATTTTGGCCACGGCTTTCTTGGCCGTCGATGAAATTGCATGACTTGCACTGCATTTGGATGTCTTTGGTGCATCTGGAGCAGTGTATCATCTGTATCCTGTCACCAGGTATTACAGAAGCGCCATGGGCATACTGATGGTCTATGATGTCACATCTGAGGTCTGGAGTTCCATCCCCAACTGGTTTGGTTTTTGTTTACCCTTCGGTGGTCAAGCATGGCAATAGGACATCCCGAACATCGACGTTGCTGAGCTCAATCATCGAACTAAATAGGGGATTTTCTATTGCCATGTTTGATTTCCTTAAAGAATCACAAGTCACAAGTTCCAACCATCCATCCTAAACCTCAGACCGGAGCGAAGAGGCCTCTTTTGAGAACATCGCGCGCTGGAACGATCAGATCTCCAAGCATGCAGACAAGGACGGGGCTTCTATCGCACTGTGCTCCCGGAAATGGGAAGATGTTAATACCTGATTTAATCAATCAAAAATGGCGGATTTTTTGGGATGGGATTTACATATTCATTGGATGCGTTTAAGGAACCAACAGGCCAACCCCATATTTTTCAGGGGGTAAGAACCATGGCTTCCTGTAGAGTTTCAGACCTACGGAGACGTGAGAGCTTTGACTCAGGAAGTGCAAAGGATACTTGTGGGCAACAAGGCACCACAGTGACCGGCTGGCCACATTTTTTTGGGAAACTAGACATGACTGAAACCCATGCTTCAGTTTCGAGGAAGCTTGCAACATTGAAAGGCAACTTGGGTATTCCGAATCACGTTGCAGTAATTTTTCCAAGATTTTACCGCATTTCCCATGATTTTCCCATGGCACGGTCAGGCGGATGCTGAAGACATTGCTGTCTCCCTTAGTAGGGGCCAGGAGCTCGCCGAGAAGTCGAAAGCTGAGAAGTCGGGCCCAGTTTTTCGTGGATAGGCTATTTATTTGTTACCAACATATACACATATATAGCAACATATTATGTATATATATATATTATGTGTGTATATTATGTGTATATATTATGTGTATATATTATGTGTATATATTATGTGTATATATTGTGTGCATATATTGTGTATATATATATATATTATATGTATATATTATGTGTATATATATATATGTATATGTATATGTATATGTATATGTATATGTATATGTATATGTATATGTATATGTATATGTATATGATGTATATGTATATTATATTATATTATATCATATTATATTATATTATATTATATACTATATATAGGGATTTCCACTTCACAGGGAAAATGGTGATTTGCAATTCCCAGTTTTCGCTGAACATTTCAGACAAACCAATGCGGTAAATCTTGAAACACCATGGAAATCCCTGGTTTATGCTTGTGAGACATTGGAAAGTGGCTTTTCAGTCTATTGGTACTTTGCTCAAAGTATACTCAACGTAGCTACCTGCGGTGTTTAGCCAATTGTAACAAGGCCCAATAGTAACCAACCATGACTGGAGGTCATTTTACTCATCCCATTGCTGGGACAGGGTCGTTGCTTGTCAAGGACCATCTTTGGATCTTTGAAGAATTCATGATCAATTTTAGACCACCAGATGTTCGATGCTTTCGGTTCGGCTGAGGTATGGAATCCCATTCGTGGAGACTAGTGCATATTTGGGTGAGAACGTCAACGAGGCACGCATGGTTGCGATCTGCTTGGGCCTGGTTGGACTGTGCGTAAGCCGCAGGCTTTCTTGAAACTGGCTGAGATGGTCATCAAACAGCGACACCGCCAGGACAAGGGTTGACCATGGAGTTGTCAGAAATGCAGCTGCAACCCCTGCAGGATGAGCCCTTTATTCCGGATTCCCTCAGCCTTTTGAAGGACAGCAGCTGTGGAAGCCATTTTTTTCTTCAGGTGACTCAAGCTCTATTGGAACTTGATGTGAAAATGGGTCAACGCCTACTGTATGATACCCTCCAGCAAACTAACATAGATATTGGAAATTCCACCATTCCATCATTTTGTTCGAGATCCTTTCCAAGGGGAAACTAGCGATTTCCATAGCTTTTTGATGCTTTTTGTATGTTTACTGGACGGTAAAGCCAGCACTGGGCAGGATGGGCCAGCAAAGCAAAGGGCCTGCTGCGTTCGGCAGTGAGATCTTTCCAGCGGATCTCAGGCGCCCTTCGGGTTGCGGCTGGATTGCTGACACCAGCAGTGCTTCAGTGACTTTAGTGACCTTGAGAGGCTGTGGACGAGTCTCTTATGGCCACGGCAGCGTGGCTACACCAAAGTGCAAGGCCATGCTCTGAGGATACCATATTTACACACACACATATATATATAATATATATATATATGTATATAGAGATAGATATTATTTTCCCCTGGATCTACTGGTATTTGGGCTTTCTTCACCTTGAGTAGGTCAAAATCAAGTCTAAATCATCCAAAAGTGAGGTTGAAATCATGTCTACTCTTACCATGCAGTCCTGACCATCCAACTATTAACTCCTCCTCCGAAGTCTCTTTGCGTCTCCGCTCCTTTGTTCCATCAGACGCTGAATTTGTGCTCAACTGCGCTCCGAATTCAAAGCCTGTACATATTGTAGCTCGCGGTCAGTTCCCCGGTTCTGTGCCGGCCATGCACTGCATCACCTGGCAACTCTTGAAGTTTGTCTCAACATGCCAAAGCAATTGCTGAGACGATTTTGTTTTTTCATTCAATGTCCATCATGCTAGCTGCTAGAGCTGCTAGAGAGTGAGAGAGAGAGAGAGTATATCGTTTTGGAGTGGCTGGTGAGGTTTTACCAATTCGCAACTTTCGCTACCTCCATTTTTGTCTGGACCAAAGTCTGGAAGGAGGCGGAGTCATTTGGTTGGCTCCGCACCTAGTTGTGGGCGACTGTGAATCAGTCCGAAGTCACGACTCGTGCCAATTGAGTTCTGAGGTACAGGAGATTTCGCTTTCAAATAGATGTGAGCTTCATCAATGAACGTCAATGAAGGTTTTCTATCATTTTCTCGGAAATTGATAGTGCGGAACTTTGAGAATTGGAATTCTGGATGAAGCTCCATCCCACTGTCTCAGGGTCTCACTCTTCCTTGGCACTTCAGGAGTTGTGCTTGTTAATGTAAAAAATGCGAAAAGGAACAAGACCAAGTTGAGTGTCCAGTGGTAATGAAACATGGGTCGGATAATCCCCCTCAATAGACGCACCAGCTTTGTGATGTTCCAGCCATGTTGGGTTCCCAGAGCGTAAGAAAGCGGTTGTGCATCAAAAGGCAAGGCCACCAACTGCTATTTGAATCCAAAATTTGTTGAATCTTCAACACCACTGGAGCTATTTGGCTCAAACCATGTCTTACGGCTGCGGCACTCTTGCTGGCCCTGGTGGGTCCGGAGTCTTAGTGTCAGTGAGTTTTTTTTTGTCATTCATCCAACATCATCCAACAATGGCAGGCCCAAATCCCAGACTCAACATTGGGTTTTAAGCGACAAACATTGGAATTCAAAGCTGACTGAAAATCATAACATCCTCTAACTAAGACTTGGCCTTGGAGCTGACTGATATCTCGGTGCCACAGTCGAGTGGTGCTCCGATGTTTTGAAAAAGACTCGCTGCTGATATGATTTCCACCATGATATTCCCACTGGATCCCCACAAAATGGTGGGAATTTCCGATTCTTGCGGTGCTGCAGGTTCAACCTGGGCATTGCGGCGGCTTCACGTGCCAATGGAAAGCCATGTCCTGAGAAGACCAAAAGCAAAGTTGATAAAAAAGAGGGAAGATAGAGAAAAAGGAGAAATTCATGGAGAGCTTTGAGTACATTGGCTGGTTATGTTCATGCCAAACTGAATCAATTTTCAATGGCTTTTGAAGATTTGTAGCCTCCAGTGAAGTAACATAGATACGGACAATTGACCATTTGTAGATGGTTTCCTAGGGAAATCCATGGATTTGGGTGGACTTCCAGGGATTTGTTTAATGGGTGCTGATCCCGTGCCATCCTCCACGTTGGAGCCACGGAGGCAGAATGGCCTGCCAGAGAACCCTCACCACGATCGCATATCTCGAGAAGCGATCGACGACGCGTGGCAAAATGGGTGACTAACACCCCATTCATGGCTATTTCATGGGGAAAATGGTGATAAACTATGAGGATCAACTTCTGAAATAGCAAAATAAGTGGGATAATTATTATCAGTTTACAGTTTACCTCATAAATGTCAAATATTTCCAACTTGTTGCGGATTGATCGGATTCTGGGGAAACTTTTCTATATATTTTTCTGGGGACTCTATTGAAGCCAATGTTCGAACCCAAGGTTCTACTTGGATGACCACCCTAAATGGCAAGCCATAGATCAACAGGTCCGACCATTGGATCTCATCCCCGGAAAGTTTGGACCCCTTGCCTGGTAATTGATACGAAAGTCATCATTGGATAAGCGTCATTAGGCGTCATTGTCATTATCCTTGTCGGTATATGCCTACATAATTTTGCAATACTGTATATACATAGAGACAGGCAGATATAATCACACGTGAGTACACAACTACATTATATGATTATGTGTGTGTTTATATAAATATGATTCTATGTATCTACCTGGGGTAAGGTAACGCACCGCAACTTGGCAACGTAACCTAACCCAACCGAACGTAACGGTATGCTGCTGTTTCTGTCCAGGATCTGCACGAGGTAAACTTCAACAAGGAACCCACGCGCCTGTGGGGTCAAGTTAAGGCCCAACGCGGAGGGCTCGCTGGGAAATTCGGGAACCCCCCACAAAATCATGGGATAATACAATTGGGATCAGATCATTGGGATTTCACCGAGAAAAATTGACATTTCTCCAACAATGGGGATATCAATGGGATATTTGCGGCATATATTAGCAACAAAATGATATTCGGGTTTGCCTGAACAAAAATGGGAAACAAATCCCTGGTTTGTCATCCGTTTCACCATGAAAGTGGTAAATCGTGGGGGGTATTCCTATTTTTGGAGAAGCACAATCAGGGAAAGCTACCGGCTTCCTTTGAAGCAAGTTGAGGAAATTGTCCAATTTTGTGGGACATTTGAGTGAAGAGAGGCTCGCACTACCCCAGATGTGATGAGGTACATCAGAATGTTTCACAGGTACTGTACCGTTCGCGTCGCAGGCAACGAAATATGGGGGAATCGAACGAATCGATGGTGTCAGCACCCTGCTCGGAGCCTGGTTGTACCAATTGGTCCTCTAACTCTCCCTGGATTCTCATCAAGCATACAGTCACATTCACTCGCCAGTTTGATTTCTGGTCAACTATCCAGACTCCATTCTTACTTCATGGGAATCAACAGATAAATCCACAAGGGTCCCTTTGAGTGGATTTTGTTGGAACATTTTTGCAGGTCCAATCCCTGGTTTTGTTGCTTAACATTCATATACCTTGCTGTTTTTTATGGGTGAATCCACAGTCTTCGATCATGAAATCCCAGGTGTTTTTGAGGGTTAGATCCATTGTCTCGATGGTGAAACTTCACTTAGGTGGACTGCGGGTGACTACTGGAACGTGGATAGCAACATCATGAAGTGGGGCAAGCATGAGGACTGTTACCGTATGCATGGAATCGGAGAATCCATGGGCGGTATGGGGTTGTTCCCCCAACATGGGCGGATATTTTCATTGGGAAAGTGACGATCAACCGATTTTGGGTTATCCCATTAGGAATGTGAGGATTTTGCGATTCAGCGATGCCACTTCGATGGGCATGAGTCATGCCAGTTTATGTTCACATCCATGGCGATTCCTTATTTAATCAACTGGATAACCCATTATTAGATGATATCAGCATATATCAGCCACTTAGTAACCTTGCAGCAGTCTTGCCAGCGCCCTTCACGGCAGGTCCGTCGCAATGGGGCCTGTGCCAATCATGATGTGCATCGCCATGTGGAAGCCTCAAATGCAGTGCGGAGAGGTGCATCTGGGTATGGGCTGGGATTCAACATTGCTTGCGACTTGAAGGATTGGAGTCATCTTGATGAAATTGTCCACTGTTCTTTCAACATGTCTCCAGAAATACCATGAAGGTGGACCAGTCTCTAGGTTTTTTTTGAAAATCACATGTCCTGCGGCTGAGGATCAAATTACCAAACTGGTCCTGCCTCCCAAGCCAGGTGGGGGACCTCTGGATATGTCTCAAGACATGGGAGGATTTCCCAAACCTGGGAAAGATGAGCTGGCCATGGCTCAGAATTGGCAAATCGGATGGTTTTGGTGTAGGTTGTTTGTGATACACCCAGTAAGAAACCATGCCGAATCTTGCCATTTCTGGATTTCAATACCTGCCCCCTGCCGCCTTTTTAAAGGGGGTTATCATTGTGCCGTGTGTGCCTGAACGAAGCTCCATTTGCAGGAGATACGCGTCCACTACGATATTGTGTCAGCGGCGTTGTTTCTCCAGACTGCTGTTTTTTGGAGGAGCGGAACTGGGCGAGTCTTTTTCAGAAATGGATTGGATTTGCGTATGGGATGTGGAACCAGGTACATGTCACATAGGCTTCGCCGCTCTCAAATTTCAAGTGATTAGCCATGGCAAATGCGATCAAGTTTCATCATTATGTTTCATCTGAAAATTATTTCACCATCAGACATGGTATCGAGGCGTGGGGTTTTGATTTGGGTCTCCGTGACCGGCAAGGTAAGGCCCTTGGATGTACTGCGTGGCTGATTCTATTTTAGGACTGAAAGGTGACATGAAAATCACCTCAGAAATCGCAGCACGATCATAGATTTTCTGATCTTTATTGGTTTAGCAGGTTGGTTCAAGTCTTTGTTGCTTGTGGAGTCGCCGAGGTAACAATACAACCCTCTGGAAACCAGCGGGGAGTAATGAAATGGCCTGGAAGCTCAGTCTGGATGCAGATGAAGAAGACCTATGAAAGGACATGCCAGGAGAAACTCAAGGTCGTTGGGAAGATTTTGTTAGGTGGGCAAGGCTGGCAACAAATGGGGGTCCTTTTCCCAACTCAAAAATCACCAAATTTTTGTGGGATATTCCGCGTCCTGGCGTCCGAGTTCCGATCCGAGCGGAGCTTTAATCGCAACATTGCGCGGATCCATGAGAATCTCAAGACCCTTCGCCCAGCCCTCCTGTCTTGATGCTGTGTGCACATCTTGGATCATCTTGGATCGCTGAGCGGCTTCAACTAAAAACATTGGCCAGGTGGATCTGCATCAGTTCCAGGATCAGTGATGGTGGGGCGCCTCGGGCCCTCTGATGTGGGAAACCCATATATATATGTATATATATATAGATATATGTATGTGTGATGGGTGCTGGCTTGGGCTTGGAGCCAAATGCTCCAGACTAAAGTATGTGCTGGCATGCTTCAAGAGCACCTCAAAGCGGCATGACTCCACAACAAATAGAGATAGCAACTCGTGGTATTTTTCTATCTGAGCATCCTCTGTTCACCTGTTGTGGGCCAGAGAAATTTGCCCTGGCAAGACAATCTTCCATGGCTTGGACGACCTGATAGGAGTAGTTTTCCAAGAGCAAACGCATTTGGATTGGGGTCCGTGGGTCATAATTGTCCAGTCTAACTTCAGCCATTTGGCTGTTCAACCCAGACATTTTCGGGGATGCCAGGCCCAAACCCTGAAGCCAGAAGATATCGCTGGAGAGGCCCATTAGATGGAATGTTTGTGAAAGGGGGGAGGGTTAATCAACAAACACCTGTGTGTGTTTGAAAATTGGGGGAAACCATGAAGATGATCATGGATTTATTGGGCTGGCTATTCCCTATTTTCAGACAAAACTCGACTTGTTTTCTGTGTTATGCGAAAAAAAATAGGAAACCCTGGTAGAACTAAATTCAGCTACATGATGGGTGGATACCATGATATGATCTATGTGATCTTGTTCAAAAATGAGGCACTATGGGGGACTCCAGACTCGATCAATTCGCAGTCCGTTTTGGTAGAGACCATCCGCACTCATCATTGCTGGCAAAATGTCCAATTTGATTGGATACACTGTGATTGTTGGTTGTATATAATCATGGGCTGGTCTGATGATGGATGACTACTTAGAGGTCCCATTTCTTTATCCCCAGATTCTTGGTGGTTGTATATCCCCATACTATTGGCAGCTCTTATCTCACAACTGATTGGCAATTTGGCAATATAGATCAATATAGTATCATGTTAATTCTACTTTCATGTTGTTCTCATTTTTGAGGTTTCATTTGCTCGTTTTTAATGGTCACATCCTCAACTATGTATGGTCATCTCCGAATTGTTATTGGTCATCTCCCTGGTTTGTTGTAGTTCACATCCCTGTTCATTCGCTGGTTTCTTCCTCCATTTTGTTTCTTCAATCCTCCAACTTTTTTTGGCAAAGGTGCCCCGTTGTTTTGCTTGAATCGCAATTCCAGCCAAATTGTTTTTTTGATACCAACTTAAATCCCTTCCATTGGTTTTTATGGAAGGCTGGCGAGCTAAGCACCGACGACGATGCCACAATGCTCCGAGCAGGCCGCTCGAGGGAGCAAGACCCTAGCGAAACCTTGGCTGATGCGAGTAGAATCCCTTCCCCTAATATTCATATTCTCTAATATTAAAACACCCCCTTAGAAACCATGGTTTTAGTAGGGGAACTTCCACATAAATTGGGACCATGAATGGGATATTTTCGTGGGACATGAATGGGATACTACTCGTAATGGGATATTCATGGGGATGTAATGGATATATCTGGATAAATGGATGTTATGGGTTGATGGGTGTTAATGGACGTAACGGTAATTTGCTGATTTGTATCTGGGTAAATTATAATGACCTCACTGTGACCGAACCCTGGAATCATGGTAGGGGAATCATCCACATAGCTGGCCGCACGTTTCAGGTTAGTGAATTACTCAGAATCTATAGCAAGCCACAACAAGATCGCGAGTGCCGTGTTTCCAGGATGGAGGTGAAACATGATAGTTTTCCACATGATTTTCCAGCTTTCCGCATCTTTTCGGCATCTTTTAAAATGGTTGCTATACACAAAAAAAAGTCATGGTGGTGAAATTGATTTGAAGATTATTGGATCAACCGCTTGGGATTATATAAATGTTTTTTTCTTCTGAACATGGGGGAATTTTACAGAACAGGCCACTGTGGGAGTGCGCAAATTGCAGCATTTCCTGTGCACAGATCCAACAGCATATGGCGCAACCGGACAAAATTGAATTCCATTCCTCTCTGCTGTTCATTGGCTGAATGCACTATGTCATAGCAAACATTGCTGTACTGTAGTGTATCGACCTTGCTTGTAGTGCAACCACTGACAGTGCCTGGCAATCTCTGCTTGGCACATCTGCAATGGCTATCCACACACAAACCAAAAAACCAAAAAACCAAAAAACCAAAAAACCAAAAAACCAAAAAACCAAAAAACCAAAAAACCAAAAAACCAAAAAACCAAAAAACCAAAAAACCAAAAAACCAAAAAACCAAAAAACCAAAAAACCAAAAAAAACAAAAAAACCAAAAAGACAAGACCCAACACTCTGCATCTGACCCCCTCCCCTTGGGGTGTGCAATCTTGGTTTTTTTGTTTTTTTTTGTTTTTTTTGTTTTTTTGTTTTTTTGTTTTTTTGGTTTTTTGGTTTTTTGGTTTCTTGGTTTTTTGTTTTTTTGGTTTTTTGGTTTGTGTGTGGATAGCCCAGACCTTGCCCATGGGTCTGAACTTTTTTTTTGTGTTCTCGAGGTTTTTGGCCAAACTGCAAAAAACCATGGAAAAACCAAAAAAACAAAAAGTTCAGACCCATGTCCCCTGCCAGGCCTCTCCCAGACCTTGCCCATGGGTCTGAACTTTTTTTTTCGTTTTTCCCATTGTTGTTTTGAATGTTTTTCATGTGAAGATGCTTTCATCACAGTACCTCTCAAAAAAATGCGCGTCTCTACAATTTGCACACCTGCGCCCCCCAGGCCAAACTGCAAAAAAAAACATGGAAAAACCAAAATTCATTTAATGACTTATATAATGACTAATTTAATGATTAATATAATGATTAATATAATGATTAATAAAATGATCAATATCATGATTAATATAATGCTTTATATAATGATTAATAAAATGATTAATTTAATGATTATTAAAATGAAGAATTTAATGATTAATATCATGATTATTATCATGATTCATATAATGATTAATGTAATGGTTCATATAATGCCTAATGCAATGACTAATATAATTAATATAATGATTTATATAATTATTCATATAATGATAAATATAGTGATTCATTTCATCATTTATTTCATGACTTTTATAATGACTAAGATAATGATAAATACAATGATTTTTGTAATGGCTGATATACTTGTTAATTTATTGACTAATTTAATGATTAATATCATGATTCATATAATGATTAATAAAAAGATTAATATAATGATTCATTTAATGATAAATATAATTATTCTTTTCATGATTCATTTAATGACTTTTATAATGGCTAGTATCATGATTATATTTTAAGAATGATTAATATAATGATTCCTTTTATGATGAATACAATGATTATAATATCATGAGAAAAATACTGACTAATTTAATGAGTTTATATATGATGAGTAATGTAATGATTAATAAAATGATCAATATAATGATTAATATAATGATTAATTTAATGATTAATATAATGATAAATACACTGGCTAATATAATGAATGTAAAAATGATTAGTATAATGATTGATATAATGATTAATATACTGATTAATATAATGATTAAAATAGTAATTCATATAATGGCTAATATAATGATCAATATAATGATTAATAAAATGATCAACATCATGATTATCATAATGGTTAATAAAATGATTAATTTAATGATTGTTAAAATGAAGAATTTAATGATTAATATCATGATTATTATCATGATTTAAATAATGATTAATGTAATGGTTCATATAATGCCTAATGCAATGACTAATATAGTTAATATAATGATTAATATAATGATTCATATAATGATAAATATAGTGATTCATTTCATGATTTATTTAATGACTTTTATAACGACTAAGATAATGATTAATATAATGATTTTTGTAATGGCTGATATACTTGTTAATTTATTGACTAATATAATGATTAATATAATGATATATATATATATATAATGACTAATATAATGATTAATAAAATGATTAAAATAATGATTTATTTAATGACTGATATAATGATGATTCATTTTATGATTCATTTGATGATTAATTTAATGATTCATAGAATGATTCATATAATGATTCATATAATGAAAACAAAAAAGATTCATTTAATGACTTCTATAATGACTAATAGAATGACTAATATAATGATTAATGTAATGACTGCATGGAAAAAAGTGCACTCCCACAGCGGCCAGCTCTCGAATTTTACACCCTCTATTTTGGGCCATTTATCCATATTAAAGGGAACATTCTGATCAACTATGGGATTTTGGAATACCCTATTTCAAGAGAAACCCAAATGTGATTAAAGGTTATTGAGAATTATATTATATTATATATATAGTAAAATATGTTAAAATCATCAACCATGAGCAGTGGCTGCCAAATCTGTGGCTGATTATTAATTCGGATTGTTCACCTACCTGGTTTAGAAGTGATGTTTCTCATAATGGGAATCACCGAGTTCTGTTTTTCACATTGCTCAGTTGAAACCACGAAAGGCATGTTTTGACTGACAGAAAATAGACATTTTTAAAGAAATTCAAGGTGAATTGGATGGGGAAATTATCAACAAAGTTGTTTGGGCCACCGACTTCTCTAGGCCGCACGTATGCGTCTCGGAGCTGCTATGGATGGGACCGGTCGCCATCCCAGCTGAAGATGTTGGGAACAGCCATGGAACAGCCACAATTTGCGGGGTT